GCCTTGCCTCTTTCCTGTTAAGCTTCTAAAATCAATCATCTAAGTTCTCTAGGCCATTCGGTAGCCTACAGCATGACTGAATTAATTGAGGTACCTTAGTCTCATTGGGGAGACTGGTGGGGTAGGAGGGGGAAGAGGAACATTTGGTCAGGAAGGCCCCCTATAACAAATGAATTTAAAAATAAAAGTGGTCAGCCCTCGCCAGTGCCCCAGGCCTGTAATCCTAGCTACTCAAGAACCTGAGATCTGAAGATCAAGAATCAAAGCCAGCCCAGGTAGGATAGTGTGAGATTCTTATCTCCAATTAAGCATCAAAAAGCTGGAAGAGGAGTTGTGGCTCAAGTGTAGAGTGTTAGCCTTGAGCAAAAAGCTCAGGGACAGTGTCCAAGCATTGAGTTCAAGCCCCAGGATCAGAGCAAAGTAGCATCCTTAGGCATTTGTAAAATGGCAATCAAAAGCAGAAAAAGGAAACTACTTCATCTTTATGAGTTTGGCTAAAATAAAAAGGACATAATAACAAGTGTTAGCCCTCAGACAAAGTTGATGGAACACTCCTGCTCTGGGAAACGTGTGGAAGCTCTCCAGAACTATAAACTTCAGAGCTATGGTATGTCTGAACAATTCTCCTGACTTTCCATCTGAAAGAACTGAAAGCATAGGCTGACACAATAACTTGGACACAAATGTTCTAAACAGCATTGCTCCTAGCGACCAAAAAGTAGATAAACCTAGTAATTGTCTCAAGAATGAGCAAAAAGTAGTATATCTCTATATGGTGGTATATTCTTTGACCATAAAATAGAATTAACTTCTGATTTGTACACATGAATTGGAAAAGTATTAGACTATGTCAAACAAACCAGAGACACAAGCTATCCAGTGTATGGCCTATTTCTATGAAATGTCCAGAATAGATAACTCCATGGAGGGAGACAAAGTACAGGGAAACCATAGAGAAGGCAGGCCAGTGGGCTGGGGAAAGGTGAAAGCAAGAAAGTGACTAATTTCAAAAGTTTCTTTTGGGGGTGATAACAAGATACTGGAAGTAGATAGTAGAATTGTCCAAATGTGTGAATATACTATAAAAATGACTGAAGTGCACACTTAGATTATTTATGTGAATAAACCTCCATAAAACAGGTATTAAAGAATCAGTAGAGATACTATTCTACAATAAAAAGGAATGACCTACTGATGTCCAGGACAACATAGATAAACTCTAAAATAAACTATTAAAGAAAGAAAAAAAACACAACCCCAGGAGTTGCCTGGGGTTGCAGTCAGAGACAGATAACGAGAAATGGGCAACAATTGTTTTGTGGTGTTGAAAATGTTCTCAAACTGGATTACAGAGATGGCTGCACACATATAAAATTCACTAACAATGAGCAAATTGAGCATTTGCAATACTTGAATTTTAGAGTACATAAATTATGCTCTAAAAAGCTATAAAATATAGGAGGGCTGGGAATGTACCTTGGTAGTAAAGCATTTGCTTAGTAGGCAGCAAGCTCTGAATTTGATTCTCCAGCATTGAAAATAATTGAAATCTTAGTATTAGAATAGTACAATGTAGAATAAATCGAGAGATAAAAAAACCTTTCATATAGTGCTGGCAGGAAAAAAGGGACACAGTCGCATTCAGAGACTGTCTGGCAACTTCTAATAAACCTAAACATACATACATCAGAGGATTCAGCCATATTACCCCAAGTAGGTGTATGTGTAGATATGTGTGTGTGTGTGTGTGTGTGTGTGTGTGTGTGTGTGTATTGGAGATACCTATGAGTCTATGAGTCCACTAAACGGCATGATCGATAGCTTTTCACAGTCATTAAAATTTGGAAGTAATTAATGTATTCATGGCCTGCTCTAAGGGGTAAATAAATACTGGAATAATCACACAGAGGATTATAACAGGAAAAACAAACTGTGATCCTATGTGACAACACAGTTAACTCTCAAAACCAACGTAGTCCAAGTATCTCTCTCTCACACACACATGTATGCATATATGCACCCACACAGGTACCAGCTGAGTCTATCAAGATGAAATGCACAAACAGGCAAAAGTACTTCTGGTCATTGTTTGAAGGGGTGGGATACTCCTGGGATGCTATGAATATGAGTGGTAACTTAGTAAACAAGTTGTGCACACATTACACATACACTGTGCTGCATGCATGTTATACTCAAATAATATGCCACAGGGGTTCTGCAAACATCATGCAGCTTTGGAGTTCAAACTAAACACAGTCTCCAGAAGGAGTCCAGTGGTCAAGAATCCTCTCCCCTGGAGTCTGACCAACCGGGAGGCCGTGGCTGTGTCACAGGAGAGAAGACAGGAGGTTTAGACAAAGCCATCACAGTCTATTGCTTGCTTTTCTGAGAACACTTATCTTTCTAGAAAGCACTTCCTCCTCTCTCTCTCTCTCTTTCTCTCTCTCTCTCTCTCTCTCTCTCTCCCTGTTGAGGAAGGAGTGCATGCTTCTATATTCTACTGAGTGTTTTTTCCTGCTTGCTTTCCTTGCATGGGATGCCTCATGCAATACAACAGGATTGCTTTTGTCCTGTGAATCTGCCTGTTGTGTCTGTTTATTTCATAGACTCCATTATTAAACCTTCAGAGGGGATCAGGGAAGTTTTTACTCCCTTCCAATATCAACACTCAAATAGGACTGAGCTCTGTGACTCTAGAGAGATCGCAAATCATTTTAAGGATTCACACATCTTACAAGTCACTGGACGTGACAATTACTGGGACCAACCTTTGAGAGTGATGAACTGACTCACTATACTTAAGGACACACATCATTGGCTTGGGCCAAAAACCAGAAAAGCCCTTCAGTAGGAGATCTTGTCTAGTATGACATGGGAATGAAGGAACATCATTACCTTCTCTAACATTTTGACTTATCTATAAGAAGGAAGTTGCTGCCACATTCTCAGCCATTCTGAGGATCCAGATCTTGTGTTCATGGTCAGTTTATTTTTATTTTAATTAAAATTTTTTTAATTCACTTTTTTTTTGGGGGGGGGGGAGGTTGGTCATGGAGCTCAGGGTGGAAGCACTGTCCGTGAGCTGTGTTTGGCTTAAGGCTAGTTCTCTACTACTATGAGCCACAGCTCCACTTCTGGTGTTTTAGTGGTTAATTGGAGTCTCCTAGCCAGGGCAAGACTCTTCCTGCCTGGATTGGCTTTGAACTGTGATCCTCAGATGTCAGAATCCGGAGTAGCTAGGATTACAGGTATGAATCACCAGCACCTAGCTTTATTTTTATGTTGTTTAGAAAACATTTTTTCCCTCCACAGATTATTGAAATTCCTCACCCTTTGTATCTCCTCTCCACAGACCTCCAATAAAATAGTAAAACCAGAAGAGTCCCATTTTTCTGACCTAGCTTCTCCTAGGAAATAGTTTCTCTATTTTTTTAAGCTAAGTTAAAAAAAATTACACAAAGTCAAATTTTCTCTGCCTATGCAAACCTGAGAAATCTCAAAGGTTATGAACTTCCTGCTTTTCCACTGCATGATCCCTTGACATAGAATAGACCTCAAACATCCTGAATTTCAAGAACGGCTCACTTTTTGTGATTTATTTTTTTTCCTTCAGACAGGAAGGAAAGAACCTTGCTTATTCTTTCCCCCCCTGGGGGGATAGTGGTCCTTGGTGAACGCAGGGCCTTGTGCTCAGTACTTAGCAGGCACTCATCACTATGATCCAAGTCCTTTTTTGCTTTAGTTGTTTGTTTGGATTTGATTTTGCAATTGTTGCCCAGCAAAGGCCTTATACTGAAAAGTAACCTTCCTACCTATGCCTCCCATAGACATCTGCTAAAATATAGCTTGTTTGTTGAGATGGGGTTGGGTCCTTGCTAACTTTTTGATTTGCTAGAGTATTTGGGTATACATGAATGTATCAATACATCCAGCCCTGGGATTTTGATTTTCAGCGCTCTTTTCTTTTTCTTTCAGCTAATTTCCAGGTATACAAGTGGTAAGTGGGCTCCTTCTTACCATCAAAGTGCTCATCATGTAGTTGCTTACAATGTGTAATGTACCATGTACTAACAAAGTACCATGTTATGCCTTGTCTCATTCCCAAAGTTTATATGGTAACACACTGGTCTTTCTTGTTGGGAGTGGGGTACTCCTAATTTACCACACCAAATAGACCACAGCCTATTTCCAGTGTTAATAAAGAATCTTCCTGTGTCCCCCAAGCTCACAATCCCAAAGGAGGAGAACACTGGAAAATATTCATCTGTTGACATAAAAAGAGAATTCTTCCCTTCCCTCTACTAGGGCTTTGATCAATATTCTGCCCCCATTATTTTCCAAGCTCTAAGCCACAATTCTGATCAAGCCTAGAGCCAGAGAGGAAGAAGATAAGAGTAGAATCAGACTTTCTTGTTCCCTGGGAGAGAAACTCATTTGTTTCCCCGGAGAAAGTAGAAATAGAAATGATTTTAGATGCCTGAAACATGATAAACACATGCTTATCAGATATGGGAATTAAACAACTCAAAGAGTTTTAGGAGCCAGTGAACTTCCAGTGGGAGAACAAGGCTGGTGTTGGAGTTCTTGCTTGGCGTAGTTGAGAGAAGGCACTGCATGCTGGGTAGTGGAAGTAATTCAAAGCTCCTGATGTTTGAGCTCAGAGGAAGAAAACTGATCTCAACAGGGACAGAGTTAAAAAGGTAAGACATTCTCCAAGAGCTTTCTTCAGATACTATTAATTAGTTTTGAGGACAAGGTAAAAATGCAGAGAATGACTGATCTATTGCTAGTCAAAAGAACAATTTTTAACCTATCCATTTAACTGAAGTTATTCCCACAACTGCTTCTATTTATCATCTAGACATTTTTTTTTTTAAAGAGTGAAACATATGCTCTTAACATCAAGTTCCAATTCTTGGCTGGCTTTAAACTACTTTTAATTTAAAGTAATTTATGATAAGGAATCTTCTCCCTGGACAGGGCACTTAATCTGAATTTACCTTTAGAGGCTTCTGTCCCCAGTGGGTTGTCTGAGAAGTCGGCCATGTCATGGCTCCAGGCATCCCGGACGGCAGACTTAGATACAACTCTGTCATTCAGAGCCTGCTGTGGTCGGAAGTTATTTCTCAGATACTCCACTGACTTCACGTGGTCTTGCTGTTCGGTGGTGAAGATGGAATAAAAAGCCTCGAGCTGAAGAGAGAAAGAGAGGGAGGGGGGAAAACCCACATCCATTAGGAGTTCTCTGAGCCAGAGCAGGTGGGTGACAAGAATACTATTCCTGCTGGAACTGGGTGTAATGTCTGTCCAGCCTGCCTCACCTAGGCAACTCTCTAGCTCAGGGATGTGCAGAGCACTTGAAGCCAAGACAAGAGTCCTTTCTTCGGGGTTCCCTGGAAAGGATATCATTGTATGATAGAAGGGAGCACTGTCTTCCAGCTATATTGGAAGGTGCAAGGCTATATTGCCTGGTTATAATTCTTTACCACTCACCCATTCTGTGGCCCCTACACAGCCCGGCTCACTTCTCTGAGCTTCCCATTTCCTCCATAACCTGGACACCATCGTAAGAGCATCTACCTGACATTTCTTGGGTCCAGACGCAGTGCTAAAACAGTTCCTGCCACACAAAGCTTGAAACCTACTTGTGATTTAATGCTTTATCACAATCTGCTTCTGAAATACAAAGGATCAAGCTCAGCCAAAGCACCAAGTCACCGACCAGGGTACACAGGGGAAATAACATTGCCCAAGTCAACATTCATGAGATGTGCTAGCCTGGACAATCTGTTCAAGCTCTGTGTTTCCTCATCTGTAAAACATCTGTTGTTGAAAGGCCTGTCTTCAAAGGTGTAAGGATTAAATCTAGGTAGGTCACTTAGCACACAGTAAGTCTTCAATACAAGATTGGCTGCTGTCATTATTATTTATGGGAGGAAATGTCTCCCCTAAGAGTGCCCACAAAATTTTCTGAGAAAAGAAAAAGGGGCGGGGGAGGGGGGGAGAGGGAGAGAGAAAGGGAGAGAGGGGGAGGGAGAGAATACAAAGTTTTGAGATTGTATTTCTAAAATGAAAAGGGATTCTGTGTGGTTCTCTACATTGAGATCATTATCAAAGGTCATTCGCTTGTGTGTGACAGATGGAGCTGTGACTGGCGGTCAAACTGGTTCTCCTGGGACCACGTGATTCTTGTCACCAAAGAAAAGCAACTCCCAACTCCCAAACCCTAGCTCCTTGAGGTAAGGAAACAAGGAGGAGAGAAAAAGTGGATGAACACTTCTGGCCCCCTTGGTTCCTTCCTCCAGACTGCAGATGGAAATGCTTTTCCCTAGGAAAGAACTTCAAAGACAACCAGAACAGAAAAAGCTTTCCAAGCAAGAGGGGGAAAAGGGGGTGGGGGGTGGGCAGGGGATCCGTGGCTGGCTCTGGGGAACCAGGTGGCAGTCAACAGCAGAGTGTAAAATGAAAAAGAAAAAGAAAAAGAATCACTACCTAGAGCTAACACGATTGTTTCTCAAACAACCTCAGGGAACGTCCCAGAAAATGATTTGCTAGCAACAATTATTGGAGACTTCCTCTTTGCATGAGAAAGCCACGCATTTGCTAGTGATTTTAGCCAAGCAAAATCATTTAAGTAAATAGATTTACCTATCATCATTCTCCCTCTCTCCAATGCTATCGCTTATGTGAAATGGTAATAAAGCATGAAGAAACCTCTTGTGCCTTTTCATCAAGGTAATAGTTTCTCTTAGCCTGAGAGCTCATCCTAGCCTGAGAGCGCCCTTTGATTTCCTTATGACCTCAATTCTCTAGGACTATTCTGCTTTTCCTAACAGCTCAGACCATCTCTATTCAAACTTCACTTTCCTTCTTACTCCCCCTCCTTTTGTATTTAAAGACAAAAAAAAATCCTAAATGACAAAAATACACGTTCTCTTTTCTGCCTGTGTCAGGGCTTTAACGCAGGGCTCAGGGCTTGCTTGGCTTGTCCCTCTTTCACCTAAGTCATGTATCCAGCCTGTTTTTTGGATAGTTATTTTACAGATGAAAATAAGAAAAGCTAACTTTTCTGCCTAAGCAGGCTTCAAACTTTGATCCTTCAGATTTCAGCCTACTGAGATGCTAGGATTACAGATGTGAACAATCAGCACCCTGTCAGAATTTTTTTTTCATAACCTAACTATTTATTCTGTATTCATTCTGTCCCGAGAGGAGCCACTGAGATACAGACAACTTATAGTGTTGAAAGAAATTACCTCAACCCAGTGTTGCGGCTCATTTGATAGTATGACCCAAATCAGGCAGAATGCATTGGGGGTAGGGGTGTGGGGGGAGGAGGACTTCCAATTTGTTTTCCCTTCTGTTTTTCTTAAGAAAAAATGAAAATGGCGTCCAAAAAGTGTATGGAAAGAATTAACAAAGACCCTATGGAGACATTCCAAGGAACGACCAAAAACAATCTTTCTTTTAAAAAAAATGAAAGGCTGAAGAATAAATCCTGTGAGTAAAGGTTAAAGGGAGTGGACATGTTTAGCCTGAAGAAAAGATGAGTAAGGAATAATTTGATTAAAGGCCCTTGTATATGGAACATGCTGACCAGCTCTTCTCCATATCTAGAGAAGGCCAAATGAAAGGAACTGGGCTTAAATTAAAGCCATAGAGATGAGAGAGTTTAATCAAGTAGGATCACTTCACTTTAAGGGTGATTTACTTTTACTTTTTGTTAAAAACCTTAAAATTTGAAGTGATTGGACAGAGGAGTTTCAATTCAACCTATCAGTGCATCTGGATGCATGGTATCTCTCCTAAGCCCACCCATCCCCTCAAATTACTCACTTCCATTTTCACATATGTCCATTTAATAGTAGGACTGCATTTGCTCATAAGGGTAATTTTTAAAAAACATCTTCTCTTTTTAAATCCCACTGGGCTACCACACACAGTAAGATGGAAAATATTCTGGTGAAGACAGAACTGTCCTGGAATAGGTTAATCTCTGTCACATCAGAATGGCCTAGGAGGCTCCCAAGCAATCCAACTCGAAGGTTTGTTTACTGTCTACAACACTTGCCCGCTTTCACAGTGAGCATTTAGTTCTAAAAAGTTTCTGTCTGATGCTTCAGGGAAGATTAGTGTAACTGTAGAGTCAGGTTGTGAATGAAACACGCAAATGCCTTTGCTTAAATTGCTCTTACAGCTTAATGACATGCTATGGCTTAAAAGCTCAGGCCTCTTCCTTGTCATTAACTCAACGTGCCCACCGATTTTTAAAGAAAGACTGTGACGGCTCTGAATGAACTGATGACCTGAGCGATATTATATTGTCAACTGGATCATAGCTTCTCTTGACAGTTGCACAAAAGAGTTCAAGGAGGAGAAGCTTGGCAGATATATTCAGTGCCCTTCGGTGACGTGACAGGCCTCACTCCAACACTGTCATTCCTCTAAGTGGAAAGAGAATTGCCAGTAGCCTATCTCTTGGCTAACTGTCCTCCTGTCTGGCCACTGAGTGGATACCCCCATGATTTCTGGATTGGTGCTGGGAGTGTAAACAGGTACACAGCAATCACCTAGGGCAGAACTCTATGGATGCATTCTTTTCTTTCTTTGCCAGTCCTGGGACTTGAACTCAGGGCCTGGCTTGAATTCAAGATTGAACTTGAACTCAAGGCTAGCACTCTACCACTTGAGCCACTTCTGGACTTTTCTGTTTATGTGGTACTGAGGAATGGAACCCAGGGCTTCATGCATGCTAGGCAAGCACGCTACCACTAAGTTACATTCTCAGCCCTATGGATGCATTCTTATGTGACAACTTCAGGTTGTCCTTGAGTTCCCAGCCTTGCCTCGGGCCTCCACTATGTTCAATTCCAAAGATACCACCAGGCCACAATGGAAAGGGGACCCCTGGAGTTGAATGGCATCAGAGTCCCAAGTGACATGGGAGCAAGTTGTGTCTCTCTGGGTTTCTGACTCGTGTATATGTTTAGGGCTTAACTGACTTGATCTTTCCAGATCTGTTCCAAGGCTTTGCAGTTAACTTACAAATACTGCTAAGATCATGCCATATTTCTGTTCAAAGCTGTCCCATAATAATTTATCAATTAATTAATTAATCAATGCAATACTAGGAGTTGAAAAAAGGGTCTCACACAATGCTTGCATTCCACCACTTAGAGCCACCCCTCCAGCTTTTATTTTCACTTTTGTTATTGAGATAAGTTCTGTCTGGCTCCTTCTTACCTCCACCTCCCTAGAAGCTGAAATTACAGAAATCTGCCACTATACCCAACTCAGGCTTCCATCCTAACTATGGGGTCCTAATGATCTGACTGAGCTAACTTTTCCAACTTTGAAACTCCTATCTTTGTCACCTGTTTTGGAATTCTACCTGACTAAGGGATGGGCCCTTGTCAACTTACTGAATCTTCCCATCTTTTGCTGTCCTTATGTATGAGAGTAATAACCTTATTGCCTTTCACCAGTGTTTTTCTTTCTAAGTGAGTTTCTATACATCAAGTCTTTGAAATAATTCCTGGCACACAGCAGGTGTCTAGTTAGTGTTATCCTCACTGCTAGCAGTCAGAGTCTTCTCGACACTTCCAACAATGGGAAGATGCCGTAGCTGCTTTTCCCTTCTCATTACTTGAGAAACTAAGTAATGTGTCAAGCACTGTGCAGAAATCATTTTGGTTTCTTTGTTGTTGTTGTTGTTTTCAGTTGTTTCTATTTCCTGGAATTCATTTCGATAAATATTATTTTATGTGATCAGAGGCACAAAGGCATTGTGCCTTTTATTTTGCTTTCAAGTTTATATTTAGTTTAAAATAACATCCTTAATGCTATATTATTATTTCAAAATCATGAACACTGTCAGAGAATATTTACTGAGCACTTACATGGAAAGGACTGTGCAAACAACAACAACAACAAACATACAGAACTTAAACTGGGCTTCAGAGACACGAAGTTACTTGCCCAGGAGTCAAGAGGTGAAGTAGGGATTAGGACACTGTGTGTGATGACTCGGTTTCTCAGACTCCAGGACACATACCCCCAACATGAATCATGGGAAGAGCAGCCACACAGTGAAGGAACCGAATATGGTCACAGCAGATTATTTCTAAATTATTCCCACAGCTGATGTCGATGAAGGCATGCCAGCCAGGTATGCTAGCACTGCAGCATAGATC